CTGTGTAGAGGAATGCAATTGAATTTTGGGTATTGATTTTATAACCTGCTATGCTACTGAATTTCTGTATTAATTCTAGTAGCTCTCACAGGGACTGTGATCACCTGTCAACCTGTTTCACACACCTCAATTCTGCTTTCTCTGCTAAGTTGCTTCCAGTCTTCTTTTATATTTTGATTCAAAGAACCCATCATTCAACTTGCGGGTGGCTATAGGGCCTTGCTCCAAGCAAACAGCACCCGGCTACTGACCTGCACACACACCCCCATTTCGAGCCCAGCTGGCCAGCTATTTGCCCCTCGGCACTCTCCACAGGCCTTGCTGGATGCCAGCCCTGCGCACAGTCTAAGCTTACTCGTTTCATCAACAACAGCTGATGTGTTTCTCCCACACACTCTGTGTGGGGATTGTGTCTAGCCTTGTTTTGAGCCTTGTGGTCTTTAAAGCTCTATAAATGAAAGAGATAAAAGTTTCTCTGAATGCATCAATTCAGTAAGTTTTTTTTTTTTTTCAATGGGATGAATTGCCTTTGGGCCATTTTCATTCAATGAGTGGCAAGTTTAGTTTGGCCCTGATGGACATTTGTAATGGGAAACTTCATGTAACGCGGAAGTCTGCCCAGGGTCACTGATTCATTGCTGAGGCATGCGCTCTGGGCCTGAACTGACTCATGCTCCCATTCTCCTCACAAATTGAGCTGTTAGTCTGCTTCTCTGCCACTGACAAAACCCTATAGCAGATGGCTGGGACTAGCAGAGCCAGCCGAGCTCTGTGGAGCCAGCACTGGTCCCAAATGGGCTCTGGTCCAGCCGGAAGGACCTGTATTAGGATGCATTTTTCCTCTGGTTTGTTTCAGAGCACAGTGATCTCAGACAAAAATCTGGAAGCTGTGCTCAATATGCGTGAGTGTTCTACGAGATCTGCCCAACGGGAAACTGAACGTGAGACTACTGTGGGGGAAGGATTTTCAGTCTCTCCTCAAGTCCAGACCTGAGAGGGTCAGGTAAGGGTTGCTCGTGGCAACAGCCACTCTGCGGATATGCGGGCGTAGGCACCAATGGCCTGGGGAGGCTGCAGTAGTCATCTTGCTCCTCTGATCGTGGGGGAGTGAATGCCATCACCCTGTGTCAGTCACCTTCTCTGTGCTGTGGGTTTTCTCCCCCATTGCAGGCAAACTCTGTTAAGGACACTGGTAAGTTACTGAAGTAGGTTCTACACCTGCTTTACTTTGCAAAGAAATTATCACCTGCATCTGATATGGAAGCAAATAGGAACAACTTCTTTCAGAAAAGAATAGGATCCGCTTAGCCAAGGAAAAGCATGATTTTCTCTAACACACTAACAGATATGATCTGCCTTTTAGAAAAATACATAAGAGGATCCTATTGATCTATGGTTAAAGGTGGTTTTGCTAATGGTGGGAAGGGTCAGTTATGCAAAAGTTCTTTAGCAGATCTTCGCAATCCCTCCCTTTTTTTCTTGGTTCATTCTTAGTAAGATCTTTGCTCATTGTTCACCTGGGCCCAAATTATTCACCAGTGTATCCACCAAAAATAGGAAAATCAGCCTGCTTAACATGAGCTGGGATGAAGGGAAGACACGCTGACTGTGAGAAGGGGACAGCGACACACGAGCAGTGCTATTTCATACTGAGCACACAGAACAGCTTGCACTGTGGAAAACCGCTCTGTGAGCAGATGGGTGACAGACCTCATGTGAATCCTACATGGATGGAGTCAGAATTTTAGTTTCCACATGCCCCTATACTCAGATTTTAAATGCAAAAGTAGAACAGCAACTGCAGACCCAGCACTAGTGACCTTCAGGTAATGTGTTAGAGAAGGTGGATCTGGGCGGTGACAATGAAGCTTGCAGCACGGGCCTGTGCCCCCAGTTTTCAGGTCCATCCAATGAGAAACATTCCCCTGTCCTTCACCACCTTATGACAATGACTCACCTTTATGTGCGTAGAAATTATTAAGATTCCCCAGATCAGCAATGGTAGTGTATAAAAACCAGTGTGTCCCAGGGCACTAGGCAGTAAGTGTCACCACAGACATCACTGTTATTTGAAGAAAGATGAGTAAAAATCTACTCCAAAATGATTGGCATTGAAGAAGGTTGATATTAAGTATTTTCTTTATTTAAATATTTTGATAGAAGGCCCACCTGTGTGGGAACAAGGGACTGCAAGTTACTTTCCAATAGAGCCAGGGGGAGCATTTGTGGCTCCATAAAGCACTGGGACCAACTCTGCCTTGCCTTCCAGCACAGACAGTGGAAGCAACACAACTCACAGGAAGCCTGGCCAGTGAGAAAAATGCTGCCAAATTATTACATCCTACCCCAAAAAATGTACAGTGGACAGAGAAGAAATTGGGAAGAGAAATGAGATAGCTGATCTCTATAGACTTCAGAAGTCCAGTACTCACACGCCCTTTTGAGGGCAGCGAAGAAACAGGAAAATAATGCATTTCTTACACATTCCATCATATCAAAGTGGCTGTATTCCTTTGCCTTAGACAGTCTCCAAAGTAAAAAAAAATCCCAAAAATGGAAAAAACAAAAATATGAAATTGTTTAAGTGTTTTGAGCTGTTAATGGGATTGCATAATGGGATTTCTCGGATATTATGAAACACATACCACAGCACCAGGAAATGTTTTCTAAAATACTGAGCCAAGAAAAATAAATAAATTCTTACCGTCCAGATGACTTTGGATGTTTCGATTCTACTGATCTCTATTGGAAATACCATCTGTAATTCCTGGTAAGGGAGCTGGTGGACTATCCACTGCAAACGCAAATGCTGAAGTGTAGCATTGATGGAAACGTTAAGTGACTGGGGAGCCAGTGGTAAGTACTCATCCAAGACTGAAAGACCAAAACAGAGGTGTGAAATAGCATCCGACAGGATCCGGCCACCAGTCACAGAAAATTAAACTGTTCAATGTCATTTCTGTTTAGCTTTGGAAAATACTGTTCATATGTGCATTCTAGAAACAGATGGCTTGCAGTGCTGGAAAGGAATTCAGAAATTATTTTGTAGAGGAAGAAATTAATAGCTTGATGAATGGAATAATTTGCTTAACAATACATAGCAAGTTAATGTGCTGGTAAGCAGTTAAAACAACAGGTTTTTAGGGGAAAATCTAATTAGTTTAAAATTCTCAATAGAGCTAAAGAGGTTGTTTTGCTATAAACATTATATTCCAGAAATAAAAAGTTAAAAATGTCCCCCCTTTTTTGTGGTACTGAAAACTGAATCCAGGGCCTTGTGTGCACAAGGCAAGACTCTAATACTGAGCTGCATTTTACCCTTTAAATTTTTTTTGTTGTTGTCTTGAGACAGGATCTCACTAAATTACCCAAACCAGCTTCAAAATTGCATTCTCCTGCCTCAGTTTCCCAGGCAGCTGGGACAACAAGATTGTGTGCTACCACAGCTGGCAACATCTTCTTAGTTGACAGGCAATACTTCATAATTAAAAAAAAAACAACTCTACATAGGAGGAGGTATACTTTTTCTCTGGCCATGGTGACTTGCCCTTCGGTTTTCTGAACTTGAAGTAACCTCTACCAAGAGCTTCCTGAAATCTGGGTAGAATCAACAATATGCTAGGCACTTAACATAAAACAAAAATACTTGTGACGAAGTCCCTGGCTCAGAGAAGGGCCTAGCTGGGGAGACCCAACAAACTCATGAAATAATTAAGAGATTGCACGTTTAGAGTAGTTGGTGTCGGATGGAGTGTGGAAAACAGGAATTCAAATATGAGGCAGCAGGATTGCCATGAGTTTGAGCCAGCCTGAACTATATAGTAAAACCCTACATAGCAAGACCCTGTGAAGGAAGCAAGGAAGGAAGAGAGGAAGGGAGGGAGGGGAGAGGGAGAGAGGGAGGGGAGAGGGAGGGAGGGAGGGAGGGGAGAGGGAGGGAGAAAAGACAGGGAAGCCATTTCCCAAGGTTTTAAATATCTACACAAATCTATTCATGCTTTTTTCTCCCTCCCTCCCTCCCTCCCTGTCTCTTGCTCCTCCTTCCCTCTCTTCCCCCTTCCTTCCTTCTTTCCAAGGTGGAGTCTTGCCATTCCTCAGACTGTTCTTGAGCTTCTGGATTCAAGTGATCCTCGCATCTCATCCTTCTGAATTCTGGCTGCAGGAGTACTGCACTGTACTGCACAGGCTGTGTCCGAGTTATCGGTGGCGTCGTTGCCAGTGACCGACCACACACACAGGTCTCAGCCTCCAGAGAGAAGGAGGGTGTTTAGGCAGCCGTTGCTAATTTTAGACAACAATAAATCCTGACTCTCCACTTCAGAGGAAGAGACACCATAAAGATTTAAAAAGAAGTGTGTATTACTGATTCAATAATTTCAATTATTAGGCTTAGGGTATCTAAAGTAAACTGAAAATGGGGCCAAAGTTTTGTAAAGATCAACAGTGCCTTGAAAAAATCAAGTGGTGTCTGATGATCCATAACAAACACCATCTACTGTGCACTCATTTTTTTCCTTTGCTCTAGTAACTTGAAATCTTCTGGTACTAAGTTAGAAAGATCAGAGATAACTCTTTTTGACAACAAAAATGAAAGCAATCTCTGTAGTGAAAAAAATCCTCATTGCCAGTAGACATAAGCTGTGTTTTTCACAGGGAAGTACAAGCAACAAGAACAATGCCGCACATGAATTATTCAGCAGGCACGGTGGTAGCTGCTTTACTTCTGCCTCAGATAATACTTGCTGTGAAACTATAAAACAGTAAATTTTTTTTATAGGTAAGGAAACTGAAGCTCGGTGAAGTTCACTAGCTGTCCACAGAGCTCTACAGCATGAGATGGAGGCAGCCGTCTCCCTCATAATCAAACCTGAGCTCCCCTTTGGTGCACTGTGCCCCAGATGTTAAGACAGGAGAGCAACTATCTCATGGGATTCAGCATCTGGGACAAATGTTTCAGGGCAGAAAAGTGTCCCGCCGAGCTCAGGATACAGGGATGTGGGGAGAGCTACAGAAGTGGAGGATACAGAAAGGCATGAAGAATGTGGAAGGAAACTTCAGACAACTCATTCCGTGGAAGAGGTTAGTGAAAGCATTCATAAGATGAAAAACACTAGCCTTCTACAGCTACCTGCAGAGAATGTTGCCACCCTCCTTGCGGCATGTTGTCACTGCCCCACTGAGGAGGGTGACCGTGCTAAATGGAACTCCTGGACCTTGGATATGGTGCTGAACCCTTAAATACGTCACTAGAACATGAGCAACAAGATGAGTCCAACTTCACTAAAACTAAACACTTCTGTGCATCAAAAGAGCACTTTCAAGAAAGTAAAAAGATAGCCTACGGGCTGGGAGAAGACTTTGAAAGCCATATATATGTGGTAAGTTTCTGGCATCCGGAATGTAAAGGACATTTACGCATCAGCAGCAGGAAAGCAAAGGAGACAACCTGAAAGGAGCTGCGGCTCGAATGGACATTTCTCCAGCTGTGGTACAGAGGAGGTCCAGCAGCCCGTGCACAGGTGTTCTGTCTCTGTCTCCCCGTCTGTCACTGTCTTTCTCAACACACACACACACACACACACACACACACACACACACACACACACGCTCCCTCCACCATCATACCATGTGTCCTGAGGGGGAGGCAAAGCTTCCAATCTATGAGCTAAATAGGCCTCTTTTCTTAAAACTGTACCCAGCTTTAGCTATTTTGCTTTAGCAACATGAAATTCATTCATATTTTCCGTCATTTTAAATACAGAAGTTATTCGTTAAAATCTATAAAAGTGAAGTAAAAATGTTGTGTCATTTCTAGATGTTAAGATTGGGTGGTTCTTAATTTTTTCTTTTTACTTTTCTGTATTTGGTAAATATTCTTGGAAATACGTGTTAGTTTCAGGTCCACATAATGTTACATTTAAAATGCAATATTCTAAGAGATC